TTCTTTTTTCCTCGCATCTCCGTTTACTGTCTCTATTTTGCATTCATTTTTGCTTTATTCTGTCACTTTGTGTGCTACATGTGTGCCAACTCAAACTGCCGCACACCAGTGCAAAGTTCTATTCTGAAACCAGTCAGTCAGTCAACTAAAAGATTCCATACTCCACTCTTCATCCTCAGATTCAGGCTTCAAAATGCAAATTATGGGACCAGCTCCACAGCCAACTACGTGACCGTCTAATTGATTGAACTAATATTTCAAAGCCAGAGAAAGAGCTGGTTCAGATTCATCCATGCGCCTTTCAAAGTGCTGAAGCTTCATAAGCTACATATGAAGTTGTTAATAGTGAATACCCAGCTCCGACTACGTCAGTGTTTGGTGTTATGTTGTCTGGATTTGATAGTGTAGGTGTTCGTTAAGAAAAGTACGAGATGTCATACACTTTTGGAAAATTGAAGAAAAGGAGAAACTACATCTGTTCGTGTCTTTCGTCCAGGAAGATTTACTGACGAAGTATTTGTAGCTTCCGGGATACTAAATACCATAAATGTGGTAAGATTGGGCATATAAAAGGCGTTTGCCGAGGCCAGAATACTTTACTGCCCACCTTTGACACACGCTTCAGTTGTTGCGCTCATTTTCAACAAATTCAAACAATAATGGTGCCTAGGATTATATCACATAAATTGTTTTAGCTTACGCGAAGTGTGCTTACTGTAATTATTCCATCACCTTCCCTTGTATATATATATCTTGTGTCAGTGAAAATTTTAGACATGCTTACTCCATGTGTACATTATTATCATATTGATGACGCCTGTCAGCTGGAGTCATGTGCATAAAGTGAGAATATATCATTACAAGACTTATTTTGTTGTTATATGATGGAAATGACTTCAAGTTTTATTTATTTTCCCAAGTATCTGTAATCCATCCAACGCATACTTGGATTTTTTTGTTAACGCGAAGTCAGTATCTTTATATTTCTTGATGTGTTCCATTGAATCACTAGTTATCAGATTTTTCCCACAAACTAAAGATAAAACGACAGCAACCATGTAATTTAACCGTAAATCATGTAATTAAAATATGTAACTTAAATAATACTTATCCATGCCTATACAACTTGTGTGTCTTACATTTGTAGGAATAAATATGTACCTTATTATATTATCATTACTAACTATACTTACTAATCGTATGTGTAATTTATCGAATTGATGATGCCAGTAAACTGGCGTCCCTCATGTACAAAAATGAGAATATATTATTAATTCACGTGATTCCCTTATATGCCCGGTAGAATGCAGTTACTGTCTCTTTCAGCATTTCACATAACTCAGCCTCACCCAACGAACATCCTAACCACAAGTTCAGGCAAATCTCACTGTTTCATAGTTGATAATGAAGGTACTGAGTTTTTAACTTCGAAGATTCACTGACTGTTTGTAAGCATGCCCAAACAAACTCTACTACTAGTTCAATCACAGGCATTACTGGTTATAAGCTACCTTTTATTGGTACTACCAAAATTACTTTGAAGTCATAAATTGGTAGTTTCGGAAACATTCCCTTCCTTAATAGCGTAGGAGGTTGAGGTTAAACATTTAAAATCCTAAATCCAGTCCTTGCGTAGTTCAGGAGTTCAGTTACACATTCAAGTGCATCATTTGCTTGCTGTTGAATAAAGATATCAGTCAAACAGTAGTCGAGCTCAACAAATATCTGAAAATGTTCAGATCAGGTTAAGCCAAATAATTCGACGCCTTCAAGAGGATCGTCCAAGTTTACCAGCAGCTGAGAAAAATCTTGCTGAAGAGCGTAAAAGCCGTTTTCTCCAGGGAAAAAACTTTAAAGGGCAAAGCAACAGACAAGTGAGAGAATAAATTCAAGAAATTGTCTCTAAAAGAGCTGTTACTAATAAAGCAACACATTCTCAAGCTTAAGTGGCTAGAATGCTAGGAGCAATATATGTTTCTTACAACGCCATCAGCGACAGTTTGTAAAAACAATAAATTATGCTGAGAGCGTCTAAGTCAATTTGAATTTGAATGTTTAACGAAGACACCGGCTGCTGAAGTTATTCAACTTTCATCATTAAATGCAGAACGTTCCTACGATGGATTAAATGACTCATCTGAGAAGTCACCTTAGGAGATAAGTAAAAATATGTGAATGAAACATGCATTTGTGTTAACGGCTTAATTGGGCACATTTCCTCAAAAACAGGATCAAGTGAAAATATATGGAGTAGGTAGTTCTGACTATAACTTCAATGATTACACTATTAATCCCAATTTCGTAAATAATTCAGAAATGGATGTAAAACATTTCGATGAAATACTAGCACAGAATCAGTTGAAATTTCTATTAGACTTTCCAGCAAGCCAAAAGTTCGTTATAGACAAGCCGGAAGATAATTGACAAGTGGCAGTGGTGATTAACACTTTCTATTGTCGTATTGTTTAAATACTGGCGAATTCCTGACTCCTAACCTATCTGTTGTTTCATGATCCCCTAGAATTCACTCACTGAAAATTACACTTATCAAATATGCATCATATACTTCAACCGAGGCATCTTATTAGAAACAAGATATGATACCGTCAACAAAGGTTGAAGAGAAACTGATGCTGATGAACTCCCATTGATATTACAAGAATCACAGGACTCAGTCAGTTCACGCAAGCCTTGTTCATGCCTGAAACTTAAATTTCCAGGCTGCTATTCAGAGGGATTCATTTTAAGACTACTCAACTTCTGCTACTGTTAAACTTAGTTAAGGGACTTTTCATATAAGAACGATCTAATGCAGAAACAAATGTAGTAGAAATTATCAAACCATCAGCATATTGAATAAAATTTAATTTAATAGAATTAGGTAAGTCGTGAGAAAAATAAGGGAGAGAAGTGTACAAAGTACAGTATCATGCGGTACACCAGCCTTGTTTAAGGAAATCAACTGAGTGCTTATCACTGAAAACAGTGTGCTGCTTCCTACGTCAAAAATAGGAGCAGAACTACTTTGTTATTCAGCAATTAGTGTATGCTGAGCCCAGCTTGCTTAGTGAAAGTGCCCCGGTAATAGGATCGGAAGCGGCAGCGCAGCCCAGATAGGCGGAACGAACAAACTTTGCACACTCATCCAGACTGGAGACAGTATTACGATGTACTACAATGGCAGCAACCGAAGTGATTAAACTGCATTCATAAGCAACTCGCTTGCGGTCACTGAAAGATTTCCAAGAGAATTCAGGGACAAGCAGTAGAAGTTTTTCCATATTTCTCTAGAACGAAGACGTTGTGCCAACTGGCCCGAACTTTAAATGTGATTCACAAGATAATTTAGGTACGAGTAAAATTCAAGCAACAAGCACTGTGTCCTTGCACGATGATGTGTCCAGGATTTGGGTTAAAGAAAGAAACAAAATTTCTGCACACCTTTGAAGCGAAATGTCTGGTACCTTATAGCACCTAGGCTGCGTAATCGATTTGAGACACATGAACACATCCCTTCCATCAAAACCTGACAAGTAATAATTTATGTGATTAATGGGATCAGGCGCAAACATATTAGCCTGCTGCCTTAGAAAAGATGGATTTAAGGCGTTTACATCAGAACAAGCTCCAAAAGAATCCCCATATTTTCATATGTACACAAATCTGAGTTCTTATCAGTCACAAGAATAAGCCTACAAATTACTGCCGAACTATAAAGGTTAGCAAGGTGGGCGATATACTGTGAGATAGACTTGTCTCAAATGAACCACTTTGAAAACTTAACTTCAAATGTACCGTCCAAATTCTACCTCTGCAACTACAGTGACAATGAGCCGAACCTGCAAGTAATATTTTAAAAGGTACAGGGCCGAAGTTCCGCCATCTCACAGAGTCCATACAACAAAAGCTGTCGCTAGACACAAGCAGTTCTACACGAATAGCTCATGGAAGCAGAAGGAATGATAACGTAGATGTTAATCGGAATTCTAGAGTGACACTATGGAGTCCTAAAGATGGTTCCTTTTATAATACTATAGCACAATCACGTTTTCACGTTTGCGATGTGCTAACATTGCACACGGTCAAAGATAAGCAACGTTGTATTAAGATGCACAAGTGAAGACTTGAAAAGCCGCATTGCTAACGAAATCAAATTTCGAAAAACGGGAAACGAAGAAAAAATATGTAACCGCGTAAAGTATATATAACATACGAAAAGCGATGTTCAGTAATGCAACGGCAAGTATTCCACATAATCATATAATGTGTAAGTGAATTAGTTTTATAAACGTACAATTAGAGTTAATATCGGGGAGTTACAACACCATTAAACCGCGTTGACGCCGTAACTGCGAAAATTTATAAATAATGTACCATGTGCTCCACATATCATCGAATATCTTCCTGCTAACATTTCCCGTTTGTGAGTTACAAAGAAAAGCTTAGAATGGTAATGTAGCGTAAGTTATATATCACCTTCCAGAAACATAACCACCAAGTTACTACTTTCATTGTTGTAGGATGCATCCGATATGAACACAAACTGTCTCAAGAAGAAAACAGTCATGTGGAAAACAGGACATCACTGATTAATGATAGTATTTGTCAAGAAACTATCACTGACTAGCTTATGCATAGCTGGTGTGAAAAAACTGCCCCGAAATGCATCATATTGCAAGGCAGATGAGGAGAAACCGGGATGTTTGAGGCTGGTGTTAATTTGTTTCTTAATTATCCTTTGATTCGTTTCCTTTTGTTTAACTTTGTGCTGCTTTCTGCAAGTAAGCAGCATGATTTTATACTTTCCTTACCATGTCCTTACTCAGTAACTATAACTATTGATTTCCACTGAAGTTTGTCTAGATTAATGTATCCGAAATTCTTTTTGATATGCAGTAGTTTTCTTCATATGGTTTAACGCTATTTGCTGTACATACTGTCGTAATCTTGCACTCTCTACTAGACATTGTTTATTAGAATCCTCTTCGTCCCCAATTGTACTTTCGCGCGTTATTTGTAATTGACACAGTCTGGTCGGTTTCTTATTGGGTCGTAGTGACTACTTTTGAGGTTATTCGGCCTAGATATCAAATAACGTGAGGTTTTTATGTATCATTTGCTTTTTGGAGGGAAGTGGTTGAGCTTTTGACGACAATCAGTCTAGGTACGTGACGATTTGCGGTTTGCACTCACAATTGTGAGTTCTTTTCGTTTTGAGTTACGGTTCCATCGACCTGAATATTTTACTCTTTTTTGTATATAATACACGATATTAGTAAAATATCTTATGTTTTTTAATTCAACGTGTTACATAAACGTTTAAGTTAAATAACCTTTCGAAGGTTATTAACTTAACAAATCCTATTTCACATTCCTTGCAAGAAACTTATGATCTAATTATCTTTTCTTTCCCCAGCTCAGGTGTTCGAAAATTGTGAAGCGTACGAAGAAGCACGTCATGCCACGTTCTCAAATCGTGTCCCACCAGGGTTCGAATGCAAGTGTAAGCTGTACTGCTTCCTGAAATGTCGTTTAGTCGACGGAGTATTCCTCCACTTTATAATATTTTTGGGATTGATTTTATAGTGGTTTTATTACTGTAATGTATTCATCACTCATTTAAAGTAATTAATGGTACCCACTATCATGATTTTAGAAACTTATTGTTTGATTTGGTAAATATTGGTGGGAAAATTTACTGGTGTACATAGCAGCTATTTATCAATTGGCGGCTTCTGCATGTTACTTTGACAATTAAGACGCAAATTCAGCGCTTTGAACGGCAAATGAGATATTAGTCATAATCCAGTTCATTTTTTCTCCCACTCACTAAAATGGGACTGAATAAATATCAAGGTGATTTGATTATGAGCAAATACTGTATAACTGTTTTTCATCAAATAAAATTATTCTCTAGTGACATTGTTCCTTACCACCTAGTACTTTATACCTATATCAGTGGAAATTAGGGATACAGCGGAGCAGAACGACTATCCGTAACAAACGATTAAGTAATATGGAGGCGTATGCAACTGATATACATATTTCACGTGTATACTGTGAACGAGGTTCAAGTTGAGTAGTGACTACCGTCCATGAACTCTTACGTGGCTGCGAGTGCGATTATATTTTTGGGCACCACCTCGCGAAGATGTGACATCCCGAATAACAGCGTTATATGGGGTTTTCAGGTCAGAAATATGCCAAGTGTTAGACGCCGGCAGATATGCTTGTTACAGGATTTGTCGGAAGGTGGAAATAGGATATATAATAAGATAAGTTATCTACTGTCTTGATAACCAGTCTTTACTTCAAGGCTAAACGACATAAGTCAACAAGAGAACATTTCATGGAATAACTGAATGAAAGGCAGTTGAATCTATATTTTCGATAACTGGAAGCTACTTGATCTGTTGTCATTTTTTAGTGTACACTATATAAATTCTTTAAAAACGGTTTGCCGGATGTATGCAGCTTCCTCCTATCACCTAACACGATAGGGACTGACCGTTTGTTAACAACCTATGTGTGTGCTAGTATCGCAGAATACTGTCAATAAATGTTTTTACCATGTGTAACATATGTAGAGTACTAATCCCCTTCAAATATTTCCTCAGAATCACTTCATTTACTTAGTGAGAATTTTTTGAGTTTGCTAGTATCGTTATATATACATATATATGCTTTGTTTTTAAATTTCAGTATTCGAAAAGAGAAATCAACCCAGGAAAGCATTCTATGACGAGACGTTCGCAAACTCTATCAACCGAGAGTTTACAAGGAGTAGTAAGTCCTACTGCTCGCTGAAATGTCATTTAGTCTATGGAGTATTGTGTTGCCTAATAATATATTTGGATTTAGCGGTGTATCGGTTTTATTACTATTATGAATTTATCACTCAATGACAGTAGTTAAGCGTATTTGCCGTCTTGTGGCTATTAAAGCTTATTAATTGAGGTTTTGTCATAATCAAATGGGAACTTTAATGTAATTGAATCATTTCTGATCTCTTAAAATTGTTAGTAGTTGTTTGTTTTGTATCATCTTTCCTTTTAATGTTATCGTGCTGTTTATGGTGTAAGACTCCTTACGAATGGCAGTTTGGACTGAGCTGTTGATTCCGGTTGTGTTGTGGACGTCAATTAACTAGAACAAGTAACTGATGTAGACTGAAAGTCCATTAGTGATACATGTACCTAGTTATCCTGGGTTCCTTGAAATGTTGCTTCAACTTGCAAAACTAACTGAATAGTCTATGGCTCTTGAGTGGTCGAAACAAGTGTGAAGTGTGTTGGTAAAGCTTCGTAATTTGACCTTGTGGTTTGCAATAAACTTGAATGATAACAGACCATGATTTTGTACTGTCAAGCAACATTAGCAATAGCACACACCTCGGTGTTGTATATGCATTGTGACTTCGTTAAGTACAAGCTAAACGAAGAATCACATATTCCTAAGATGATGTCAGCAATTTCTGTCTCTTGATTGAAATGTTTAGCGCGAATAATCTACAGTACTGAAGAACTAAAACGTAAATGCCCATTAGTACGTATGCGCTAACTTCTACTTAAACTGCAGATGGATATTAGAGTGAACAAGTTTTTCCCCCACTTTCTCATGATATATTTTCAATTGGAAATTGACAACCCGATGTAGACGAGTTGACGTTGATTCTAATTTATTTGTCTTTTAACTGGATCGTTCAAGATTCACTTCAAAACTACAAATAACTTCAATCGTTTTATATTTATCTACATTGGAAACCCGATTAAAGTATGGATGTAGAAACGAAAGTTAAGCTACGACCTTTGAGACTGAGACCACATGATGAATTACTTCAGTGTATTATTTGACCTCCAGGCCTCACATTATGCCTCTGATAATTTCCTGGAGGAATAATGGCGCCTCACAAAAGAAAATTAAGAACAAGTCTGCTTCGTTTATTGGACTGCATGTTGAAAGCTCGCAGTTACTGACATGTTAAAGGCTTATCTAATGGAGATACTTGTTTATCGTCGGTGTGGATATACATGCTGTTAAATCTTAACATTGTAGGTGGGGATATTCACTAACTTGCATACTTGATTGTCTTTTCAACCTTATGTGACCCTCACTGATTTCAGTACACATCTTAATAAAAAAATAAAGCGTTTTCTCAATCATATAAAGTGAATACAGTTCAAATTTAACGATTACCAATATGTATATTAATTAAATCACTTAAACATCTCTCATAAGAAAAAAAAAGTTAATATGTAACATTTTTTTCCTTCCATCTAGACTAACTCAAACATTGATGATGAAAGTATCAATCAAAACTCAAGGAAAAGAAACTTCCAGCTTATCAAATCAAAATCTTTTGTTCCGATTATTCATGATCGACCTCCAATAGTCGCTGTTACCCCTAAACTTGCTACAGCAACTCGTGCAGTTTTACGGGCAAAGTATGACAATGACGCCAACCGGAGGAGATGCGTTTTAGAACAAAAATTAGACGAAATTAAACAGCGTAAGATGGAAGAAGAAGCTGAAGAAATAAAAAGACTTCGTAAGGAGACTGTACACAAGCCGGAACCCATCAGGCGATACAAACCAATCAGAATTATTTACAACAGTACCTGATTCCCTCTATATGTTCACTCCGAATACAACCCCTTATGTGTATTTTCGATTCAAACAGCTTTACATCGAACTTCAGGAACTCACCGAGCACCTTTAGTGCGACTAAATGGTCGGGAGAGTTATCAGATTTAAGAGTGTTAAATATACCCTATCGAGATTCAGTCGGTTCGAACGAAGAATGTCCTTTTCATTAAATTCTCTCAAGGTCTGTAGAATTATAAAACGTGTTATCCTTATGATAACAGATATGTACACGAGGAGTTAGTTAGTTAGACCGTCTTTCAGTTTCGGGGTGGATGTTGGAAGGCTGCTGAAGGATTAGAAATTTCTTTTTGTCCCTCTGATTAGGCGTCAGGATAGAGTATCTCCCGGCCAAATTAAACTTTAAGCACCACTAACTACCAACGGGGTGCGAGCGCAACAATGACCTTGAAACACTCACTGAGCAAGCTAGTGAAACCTGGTAAATTATGTTGTCATCACCAATAAAATATGCTCATCGAAGTGTTACGCTATTAAATGGGATTTCTGGTAAGTTTCAGCTTAGGTTAGGGGAAGATTAAGTTACGCATGAGTCAAGGACAAGCTAGGGTCAGGTGAGCCTAATAAAGGCAACCCTAGGGTTGGTTCGATTTAGATTAGTTAGTTCAGGGATATTTTCACGTTAGGGTCAGGTTCAGGAAAGATTAGGGTTAAAAGACTTAAATAATTGCATGCATAGAATATGGTTAAATTACTCCGGTGATACAAGAATAGTACTTGTGCACTATGGTAGAGTTTAATTCCATTGTGGGTAAAATTTAATTTGGATAAAGTCTCAATGTTGTACAGTAATATTCACTGATGACGTTTCGAGCACAATTTATCGCTCGGGAAACATTACTGTATTACACTATGAGACTTTATCAAAATAAATTTTACCCACAATGGAATTATACTCTCTTGATACTCCAACCTAAAACTGAGTTATTTTTATCACAAGGTGTCCTCTGTAACGCTTTTCTACCATTTTTATGCATTATTTCATAAATATATGTATTCCATGTACAAAAATGCCTCCTTCACGTGATTGGTGCGTTCGGGGTCATTTGCTGATTGGTAGTTAGTGGTGCTTAAAGTTTAAGTTTGCCTATCTCCCCAGTATTGTAGACGCGGATGTAATCGCCGTTTCCTCCGCAGTTGTCAGGTCATTCATGTGACTGGCGTAAGTCACTTTGGCTTTTGTAAACGTCGAACATGCATTTTCGCTTAAAACATCCCGCATGCCATGGAGCTCTCTCTTTACACCGTCTTTGTAGGGAATTTACCTTGCAATAAACGCTAAGCACCTGCACGAACTATGCTTATATTTCAGTTATACAAAGTTAAGAAAGTGCATATAATGATCTCTATTTTTCTAAATATGGTTATCTAGATGGATTCATCTTCTTTTCTCGTTAGCGAAGCGTCGAAAAAGTAGTAAGAGTCTCTGTGTTCTCTTTCGCAGGTTAAATTGATCGCTTGGTTACTACTATTAAAGTGGCTCAAAATCAAATCATCATCGTCGATTTCAAAGTCGTAATCAATGTCTTATCTTCGCTATTCCATCCTTCAATGAGTCAATATTTAGTCTCACTAGAAATGTACCCGCAAACATAGGACCCAGTGGAGATCCTATATCGACTCCATAAACCTAATGGTACATTCCATTATGAAACAGGAACCGAGCATTTGCTGTACATCTAAACAATGTAACTTCCTGTCTATCACCAGTTCGTAGGATGAAACACCAAGCAATGCTATATATGTTTTTCGGTTGTGAATAGGTTTTAATTCATAAATAAACTGAATGGCAGCTTCTGCACTGTACTTCAGATAATCATGCATACTTCTAGAATTGTAGGGAAAAAAACCCAACTATTGTACGCAGAAAGAAATGGCAATTAACCTGAGTTTAGCCTATCAATATTCATTTCACTTATACATGTATGGCTTTCATTTCTTCATTATATAAAAATCCTAAGCGATTCACCAGAATGCAGCTTTCTTTCTTCACCGAACACACCTCTGACCTGCAATCAGGGTAGGCAAGCTTTTTCGGCCTAAAGGCCCAACAAGTTCAACCAGGAAAATATAATTTACCAAATGACTAAAAGGTCACTTACATAGGTCTGAATGACATAATAGGGTCAATTGGGTTATCGGAGGTTGACCACCGAATCAACATCAAACACGCAGAGTCAACTTGATGAGACATCTATCCTGAACACGACTAGTTGCAATAAGCAGATGGTAGTAAGGCGATAAAATGCAGTTAAGGAAGTCATGTGAATACATTAGTATGATTATGAGCAACAGATTGTGCTTCAGACGTCAACATCCAGCTCTTTATACAATGCGTTATATCAAGCTTATCTACTACAGTGCCCATATTTCATTCTGACACTAGTTATCACCTGCAGTTATCAGTAGTGAAGTGATTCTTCTCAACTGAGTGCCGAGAACACGAACCTCAGAAGTAATGACAGTCACTAACCAACAACAAGGGTCGGTTTGTCAGACGAATATTGCATCAGGTCACCTCACCAAATTGTACCCAATCTAGTGTTGTGGCAGACTCAGTTGCATACCACTTGCTTGCTTCACAGCCGATAAGAATCCACGATTTAGTGGAAAAAGGAAGACTAAAACGATATTAAATATCTATAATTATTCGGTTAGAGTAAAAAAACAACGTTTTTGTTCCAACTCCAACCCCCGTCTCCTTGTTATAAACAGGTTAATACAGAACGATAAGAGAATTTTATATTAAAGAAACCTCTGTATAGTATACAAAAATGGCGAGAGTGAAAAAAAAGAAAAACAAAACAATCAAATATCATTTTAAATTAGTACAACAAAAGTGAATGCCTACTGTACAGAAGATGTAGCTGGCTACTATATTAAAAAAACAGACATAGATGTATACGACGTTAAAATCACTTCATTGCGTGTATCACAAAAAAGAAGTGTTTGCTTATTCACCTTTTTCTTTATCATCTTTATAATACAAGAAAATAAAGCTAAACAGTATTAGGCCCACCATCATTGATATAGCGCTGGTGTAATATGGATATGCAGCTACGATGAATCTCTCGTATTGAGTGTGAGTGAACGGACGAACAGGAACCTGTGAGGAAAAGAAAAAGAATATTTGTGAACGCGGTGCCACATTTCTTTACAGAAAAAAACAACAAATGTATATGTAATCCGAGAACTTACCTGTATAACACTGAAAAGATGTGTGTAACCGATGCGATAGTAGTCGACCACGAATTTGAACACTCCATACACATCGGGTAACTTCATAACAAGTTTGTATTCACCATCTGAAAAAGTAATACGCAGTATGTACATGTATACATATATAAGATTAATATAGTGGAGGCACTTTGTTAGTTGACTTGACAGTGATGAAAACAGATAATGGTCATCACCACATTTCCTTCGTCTTCATCTTTACCCAGCTGAATAATTCTCAACTATGCAGAGAAAACCCCGTGATGGCTGTTTTTCTGAAGTCTTCACCAACCAATGGAGTGGTTTTAAAAGATTCAGCAACCACACCCCAGACTATACGACTTTAAGCCAACTAAGTAGTTGCAATCTGTAAGATATGAAGTCCAAATACCCACATTCATTGATTCTTTTCAAATAATAGCAAGTATAACTCTATAAACTAATAGCTTCAGCAGGGGATCACGCAATACTATCGCATCAACAACTGACTAAGGGCCTGGAAACAGCAAGTGAATCTTGTGACAACCTGGAGCTTATCCAAACTGATAACACCAAAGAAACTAGTGTCAGTGGGACATTTTGTCAGGTGGACAGTACATAGACTAGATGTCGTTAAATGTATTCTTGACGGAAGACATTGAAAAGAATTTCAGATGACTTAGTGATACATCATTTCCAACTTGGTAGCACTGTGCTCTATAACCGGCTGATAATATAAGGAAGTCTAAAAGGTACTTTAAATATAAGACGGCAGTGCCATGGAAGATATTTTCAGTTTCTTCTAAAGAACAACGAAATAACCACGCTGTTTAAAAGAATGTGCTAGACTGGGTGTCTCATCTGTAGAATCGGGTTGTTTTATTCACTCTTATAAGGACGAATACAAATTATATAACCATTCGGGTAACACTGCTAGCAGTGGCAAGTCAAGTTATGTAATAATGATCACGTTGTTTACACCCAACCAGTTACATTCACACATTTCCGAGCTGAGCATGTCCGATAATTGTGTTCAATCGTCCTTATCTACATAAGATAACTTGTATCTAATTAGACAACGTACATAATTTATATATCACGCGAAATTGACTAGGGTACGTTGGAGATCTTAATTTATTTCAGCTTACTCTACAAACAAGTGGGCTGAAATTTATAGAAAAAATCTAAAATCATTAGTCGCGACTACAGTGTATGATATGGCACAAAATACAAATAACTTTTTCAGAAGACTAACTGTAAGCAATAATTGCAAGCAAACACAAATACTGAAGTGCGTGCTATAAGCATACTAGTTACATATCATACCTTTATGTTGCATTTTCTTCCTAATAAATGGATCAATTCGCACAAACTCCAACTGAACGTCATCTGCGTTAAAAGGAATCCAATTTCCATTATCATCCTTTGTTTCTATTTTGATAGTGTAAACAACTTGATCCATTATTGTATACTGACTAGGTGGATCAGTTTCACCCAAGCGGTGATGTTTAACATAGGTATATCGTAACTGACCTCGCTCACCCAGGACCCATCGCAGTAGGCCATCGGTAAGCTTTTCGTTTCCTGAAACAACAACCCTATGACAAAGAAGCATCCACAAAAATGGAAGAACTGTAAGTAACATAAAGGTTTGAAACCAATGCATAAATGAAAAAAGATGATATAATGAAAATGTGGAATAATGCACTTAAAAGTCGATTGGAATTAGGTAAAAATTTACAAGTCTAGTTTTCACTCCGGCTTGCAATAGTTGACAGTAGACGCTATAATCAAGGTAATTTAAGTCCGAAACCATTCTATTTTTGACCACCTTAATTTTTAAACACTAGATCATAGGCTATCAGATATGGCTCTTGATAATTTCGAAAATATTGACGGCTTTTGATCACATGTGTCGTTCAATTCCTCACGATAGGCGAAGCAAAGTGATCGGAAAACACGAACTCAGGTTTAAGGTATGGAGAAGTTCGCGTGTAGCATGTTGGGCTCTATTGATTAATAGCTTGGTCCCTGTCTTCCTTGTAGAACAATGCTAGCTGAAAGTGGTTTAAACAAAAGT